GGTAAGGAGGGGAATGGTTAATTCTCCTTGTTTTAGATCCAAGGGGGTTGGATCTGTATTCACCAGGAGTTGGTGGAAGGAAGGAGGGGGGATGGTTAATTTCTCCTTGTTTTAAGATTCAAGGGGTTTGGATCTGTATTCACCAGGGAATTGGTGAAAGGTTTCTCAAGGCTTCCCAGGGAGGGAATCCATTGGGAATGGTGGCAGCGGGACCAGAGCTAAGCTGGTAGTTAAGCTTAGAAGTTTTCATGCAGGCCGCTACATTTGTACCCTAAAGTTCAAAGTGGGGATACAGCCTTGACAGGAGTGCAAAGAGAAACTAGGACTGGCTTGGCAAGGAGACTGGGACTGAATAGGTGAGGAGAATGAGATTTGTACAAGGGGCCATGGAGAGAGGGACAGACAGCACTGGGACAGGGACAAATTGAAGAGGACAGGACAGAAGAAATCCAGCTAGTGAGAGAGAAACAAAAGACGGTTTGTCCACTTGAGCACGTTCCCCTCCAGAGCCTGGAATGAAACCCAAGATCCCTGAGCCTCACCATTCCTCTGCCATCAGCAAATATCTGTGAAAACCACTGGTAAAATGTGTCTCTCATCCCCCTCTAGTGCCAATCCACATAAAGGAGGACAATCTACTACTGTTATCAGTTGTTCTGTAAGTCTGTGGCAGACATCTCTGTGGTGGATCTAAAGCTTCCAACCCTGCTGATGAACCGTGTGAGTGTCAATATAATTCCACATGTTGGAATTTCTGTTTGCTTGCTTTTCAGTTTGCTTTTTTGAAAACTTAGGAGATTACACACACAAAGCTACATTAAAGAAATATTATTAAGGTTGCAAAGTCAAGTACTCAAAAGTTAGGAAATGCCAGAATTAAGATTGCCTGTGCAACCTTAATTCAGAAGTCTTGTTTATATGCATTATGATCGTCTTAAATTACATGGTCAGATACTATTTTTTCCAGAGGACCTCGGTGTACTGAATGAGGCAGAACAGATCTGAATGAATCAGGGTTGTGTAATGAAGGAGACATGTCTGTAGGATCCCTGCCTGATTTATTGCCGATGTTGGAAGGTGTGTAATGATAGAGGCAGGGAGATTGTAGGAAGAGAATGTACGGTCTCGTGGTTAAGGCATGCTGTCCTACCTAGAGAACTGGAATGTACCCCTTCCTCTTCCACAGAGTTCCTGGTCATGCTAGGAAAATCAGTTAAACCAAACTTTTCACAGGTGGTCAATAATGGTGCTTCACTTGAAACCCTGGTATCTAATTTGCAGAAGTGCTGAGAACTCCCAGCTGCAGCTGAGGTCACTGGGAGCTGTGCTTAAATATATAAAATGCAATGTAATGCTACATACACTGCAAACAATCAGATACTGGTATCACCTCAAAGTAGTGGGTACATTTGACCTTAATTTCTCTGTGCTTCAGTTCCCCATCTCATAAAACGAGAATAGCAACATCCATTTGTTTACAGGAGTGTTGTGAAGGTAAAATCATTAATGTTTGTGAAGCACATGGATACAATAGTGATGAGTGCCAGGAGGAAATTTAATAATTCCATCTCCAGAACAGGGTTTGAATAGTGTCCAATATATAAGGCCTAGAGCAACACCTGGAATGATGAGAAGACGACAAAATAATGAATAATTGCTCATTAATTGAGCACCATCCCCACTGTCTACTGAATGAGGCAGTGGTCCTGTGGAAAAATAGTATGCAGTGCTGTAATTAAAGACTGTATCATAGTGTATACAAACAAGGGCCAGAATTAAGGTTCCTAATATGTTAGTGTTTGACTTTGCAACCTTCATAATGTCCTTTTAACAGAGTTTTTTGGTCTCTAATATCCATACACACACACACACACATCCCCTTCCCACCATTTGCCACACACACTTGCTATGAAGATAGGATGCCTCCTGCTGTTTGAGCTGCTGTTCCACCTTTCCCTCCTACTTCTGAAACTGAGGCCTGGTGGCTGACAGAGGGGTGGGATGAAAGATGAGCTTGTGGTTAAGACCCTGAACTGGGCTTTAGGAAATTGGGGTTCTGTCCCTGATTCTCTGACAGATTTCTTGTGTTACCTTGGGCAAGTCCTCTCTCTCCCTCCTTCAATGAACTAGAAATAACAACTCCCTACTTTACAGGGGTTCTGTGAGACTAAATGTGTTAATGATTATGAGGCTGTTAGATGCTAGGGCCATAAGTATCTTATCTAGATTGATAACAGAGGAGCTGCATAGGGACGGCAGTGAGGGAATAGAGCTGAAGAGCCAATTGGGGGCTCAGATGCTCCCCATATGGCTTCCTCTTAGATCAAATTGCTGCTGTAGCTCATTTTTATACATATGGGGAGGGGACCCAGTTGCCCTTTGCTCTTCTCTCTGCCCTTGCATCCTCCCTTGCCAGTCCCTGCCTTTTGCTCATGGTATTACCAGTCAGCAGCAGAATGAAGCTGACGTAACTCTTGCTTGTTGCACCACAGGGTTCCAAATAGCAACAATGAAAACTAACTAGAGTTGTTAATTTCACTGTGCTGCTATTCAGGAAAGCTAGGAGGTATTCCAATAGCCTGTCTGCGGATTCCAGGTTACATTCTAAGTATCAGGGCTGGAAATGTCACCTTTAAATCATAAATGTAGTAAAAAGTGATGGTTTTAGTGCCCCTCTCCTAACACATTCTCACCAGGGAAAGTTTGCCACTTTGCACTGGCTAGCAGATTTTTCAAACCCTGCCTTTGAAGTAGTGGAGATCTGAGGCAGGGAAAGGGTTAATTGAGCCATCAAAAGCACATACATTTGGGTTCTTTAATTGGGGTTAAACCTTTGCAACATTTTAATAATCATTGATCTGATTACAAGGGATGAGCTGGAGCAGAAATATGTCAAATCACAGATATCGTCCAAATTTCAAACCTGCCCACGTGTAATTTAAACCAGCTGGGGAAGGAAAAGTGGAGCTCTGATTCTGACATTCCTTTTGCTTACAACATCAAAGCGGTTATGTCAAGAAAGCTGCCACAATGCTAGTTAGTTGGCATTTCACTGAACGGTTCTTACTTTGGGGAATGATAGAAAACAACGTACAGAGCTGCATGTTATGTACCAGACTACACATACAAAGCAACAGATAGGACTCAGTCCCCGCATACAACTCCCAGATGCGAGTTTGCAAAGATCGGGGATAGACTGTGGCCAATAGAGATCCAAAATGTTTTTCAGAATAAAAACTCCAACCCACATTTCTTTGTAAGCAGCTGCCCAGAGACTGCTTTGGCATTCTTAATGCTGTACTTTCCTGAGGGAAGCAGGAAAATTAAAAGAGAGCCCAGAAATGTACGCAACTTGGTGACAGAGAGAAGGTGAGAGAGGGAGAGAGCAGGTCTGAGCAAGTAGAAATAGATGTGCAAGTCAAAATTTAAAAAAATGGGTTTACTTGGTCACTCCATTCTCAGTGTAGGTGGTTCTATAAAATCCAACGAGGGAGCCATTCAGCCAGCCTTGGAACTTCAGGGTTAGTATATAGTTGTCATTTGCAGTAGTAGCAGAGAGCATCTCTTTTGCCTCCATCACCACATATTCGTGTTGTTCATATTCAAAACATTCGATCAGTGCAATCTGCTGCCCTGAGGATTTCCAGAGCATGGGTAGCTCTGTGATCTTGGTCTCTCGGAGGTGAAGCCACAAGTACTTGGTAGGTTTCCCCAACTTGATGGAGATGTTGACTGTCCCTGTGTAGATATCTGCATCCATCAGAGGCTTCACTTCCAGCTCATAGTGTTCTGGGTTAATGTAAGTGGGTAGCCTGAAATCTGTCCATTCTCCATCTGCATCATTTTTGGGAGGGCAGTGTCGTGTCTCCACTGTCACAGGAGTAGTGGTTGCTGGCTGTTCTGTGCCTCCGGAAGGTTGGCAAGGCTCAGGTCTGCTTAATCCCACGCCAAGTCCCACAGCTAAACCCACTGCAGCCACTACTGCACAGATGATGGCCACATGCTTTTTCTTCATGCAATACCTCTTGGACTTCTTATCCTCAAAATCCATTCCCTGCATCTTTGTTCCCCTGTCTTCTTTCAAAGATAAACATTAACCTTAAAAAGGCTTATTAAGCACCTCCGCGCTGCTTGTTTTTAGTAAGCCCAGCAGATTCGGTTTGTATTGTAATGGTGTAGTTACAGCCTTTTTGTCTCTTTTGTACTCAATTAATTAAAGATAGCATTCATCTGAACCAGAGGAAAAGTGGTTGATCCAGAGGAGTGCAGCTGTGAAGAAAGACAGAGGAAATGGACACAGAAGAACACTGTTACTACTCTACTCTCCTTATAAGCAGTTCAGCCCCACCCTCTACTCCTCCTGCTCTGCTCTGAGTTAAATATAAAACAGCACTATGTTAATCAGCAGTTAGGAGATGATCATATGCCAAAGCTCTGTCAGCAGCTTTCAGAAAGTTCACAGATAGTGGTGTAACTGCTAGGAAGCCTCAACTTTTGCCACTACCTCTTATTTTTAATACTGTTGTTGTTTGTTTTGACAACCAATGATTTCCTTGAACTTCCACCAAAGTTTTTGTGCAATAAAATTTCCAAGGTTTTAAAAAAATCTTTGTAGTTTCAGTCAGTTGTTTCCCCTCATTTATAGAGTCATTGTTTTACTCCATGTGGTTATAGGCAGAAGAATTGGCAATAAAATTATATAGCTTCACTTTTGTTTCAAGCCTTAAAATTTTGCTCTTTTCACACATACAGGACCAATTTTCCAAGAGATCTTTTAGAACTGCACATAGGAACAGGTAGCCAGGGATGTATTTACTTCCTTAGCCAATGCAATTAGTGTTTTGTGTTGTATGAGCCATTTGAGAAACTTCTAAAAATGTGGCTCCCAATATGATTTAGACACTAGACAACCTTCATTTCCATAACCAAACCTCAGGTAACATGAATCAAGTGGAACCTGATCCTGCAAGGGCAACTTTTGAGAGTAAGGTCTACTTCTGTGAGTAAAGATTCCAGTTTCAGGCTCAATGTATAATCTATCAAAGTAGATTAGAACTGAACACTGAAATCTCCAATTTGTTTTATGCTCATAGTGGAGGAATTTAAAGGGTGGAAGAGAAGCATTCAGTTTTCAGCTGCTGTGACTCTCCTGTTTTTCACTTGCTCCAGAGGCAGAACTTGTGTCCCCTGTGTTTACTTATTTCAGCATGACCGTGTTTGTATTCAGAATAAGGTGCACTAGTTTGGCTTCATGACTCCTGTTTAAATTGATGAGGAGTTGTATGGCTTAACTCTTGCTTGTTATATTGGATACACTTCAGTGTTTTTTAAGAGAATTGGATACAATTTCACCTGGATGGCTAATCCTCAGGCCTAAATGCAGTTGTTACATGCTCCGAAAGATATACACACAGTGCTGTGCAAGGGGTTCTTCTGGGGTAATCTTTCCGCACCCTATTTAGAGATGACTCTGACCACAGCTTTACAAGTCACTTTTGTCTACTCGCTTTCAAATGTCACCAACCTCCACTCAGACACAAGCTTGTGTGAGATTCCTAGCCACAAGATCGACAAAACTGGCTGGTGTTGAAGTAACTTAATATATTGTGTCCAAATCAAAGATTTCAAACAGAAGCCAAAGAAAGAGAAGGTTTGTGTGTTGGAGAGCTCCAAGTTATCTTACTCAGATGTTTTCAGACGGCTCTAAAAGAATGAAACCAATGTAATAATTAAGTGTACAACTGGAATCTGTTTCGCATTATGTCTCGTTTTCTTTTTTTCTTTTCTTTTCTGTCTCTTGATCAAAATTAGACACGATTTGGGAAAACAGTGCCTTTGAATGAACTTGGTCCGAGAATAAGCTCTGGTTATAGGGGCCAACATTGCAGATCATCATGGTCTTAACATTTACAGTTTACTTTCTCTTTTTTGCTCTGGTTTAAAGATACAAGGAGAGAGAGCAGATATAAAATAAGATGCCTTGAAACAGAGTGGCTCGTTAAACACTTATAAAGTGAGAGATTAAATGTGTCTCGCTTTTTCTTTGCTTCTTTAGCCAAAAAAAGGTGTTATGATTTCAGCCCACTCTGAGGTTTTTTTATTTCAAGGTAAAAAGTGCTATTAGTTGAACTTATTGAAGATGTAGCAGAAAGGATTAGTTATTGTAATTATGAGAAGATTTGCATATTTCTCTATGGGAAGTGAAAGTATGAGTATTTGTACCTTTACAGGGAAGGGTGAGGGATGAGGGGAAAGCATATCTGGGTGAGATGGTTCCAAAAAAAATGATATTTGTGCTAAGTCTTGAAAACAACAGCAGCAGCAAACACCATAAAAACAAACAAACGAGCAATGACCTATTTATTAACATGGCACATAGCATAGATAATTATTTTTTATAAAGCAAATGCAGTAAAGCTGTTACACTCAATTATGCTTGAGCACTGCTATGTCACTGATAATCTCTTTACTGAAAAGTGTGTGTCAGGTGGTGTTATGGCCCAATATGGGTGTACATTTTTTTGATGGTGGGATTTAGGGCTTCTGGGCAGGCCCATCCCTCTCATACCAAAAATAAGCTTTGTGCCTTGTTGACATCTGAGGGGGAAATCTATGCTAGAAATAGCAGGAGATGGCACCAGGAGGCAGCTAGACTGCTGAGCTAGTCAGCGACAAATAATCAGAGGCCTCTCCATCAGTCTGAGGCAGAGAGGGGTATTACAGGGCGACTTCTGGCCACTGTGAATGAAGTAGGTCCAACTCCTCTGTGCTGGTGCTCCCATTTGACCAATTAAGGAGGCAAGGCAATACCGGGGGCTATAAAGAGACTTAGGCTAGGTCTACACTACCCGCCTGAATCGGCGGGTAGAAATCGACCTCTCGGGGATCAATTTATCGTGTCCCGTCGGGACGCGACAATCGATCCCCCAATCGACGCTCTTACTCCACCAGCGGAGGTGGGAGTAAGCGCCGTCGACAGAAAGCCGCAGAAGTCGATTTTGCCGCCGTCCTCACAGCGGGGTAAGTCGGCTGCGATACGTCGAATTCAGCTACACTATTCACGTAGCTGAATTTGCATATCTTAAATCGACTCCCCCCTGTAGTGTAGATGTACCCTCAGTGACCTGAGAAAGAAACATGGGGAGTCAGAGCTGCCTGGGTCAGTCAGGAGAAGGGCAGGAGGTGAGAGCTGCCAGAGCCAGGAGATTGATTGTGTTTCCAGGCAGAAAGCTGAGGGTAGGAGAGCAGCAAGAGGCATTTGCTAGTTGGCATCCCCAAGCCAGAGAGCAGTAGAGGCCGGTTGTAATCCAGAGAGCCAAAGGCCAGAGAGAGCTGAAGGCAGGGGGATCAGTGAAGGAGCTTATCTGCTGATGTTTCCAGGGCTGGAGAGCTGGACTCTGAGGAACTGTGAGAGGGCAAGGAGGAAGTGAGGGATGCTTTCCTGGTAAAGATGATCTCCCAGTAGAGAGGCTGTTGGGTTCATGCAAGGAAGACCAGAGTTTTAAGGACTACATGCACTGGGTGTGGATATGGACTATGTTTGGGGACTTTGGTTATGGATTGATTTGCAGTATGTTTTGTAATAACCGGGCTCCCAGTTGATGTATTATTCAAGCAAGAGAGCCTGGTGTAGAGTCCTTGAGTTGTATGAACTCCAGGGAAGATCTGAGCACCAGACCAGTTTGGGAGGGGAAGGGGAAACATTCATGTCAGATTTTTGTAGTATGGTCAGTTTTAATTTTAGAAACCTAAAAAGGAATGAAAACCGACGAACCAATTATCTCACTCATAATCCTAGAAATGTAGGACTGGAAGGGGCCTTGATAGCTCATTTAGTCCAGTCCCCTGCACTGAGGCAGGACTAATAACGTCAGGCACCCGTAAAATGATGCCATTTGCCAAAGATCTATCCTGTGTAACAAGCAAGGGTTAGATGGAAAAGGAGCAGAGAAGGGCAACAAAAATTATTAGGGATATGGAACACCTTCTATATGAGGAGAGATTAAAAAAGACTGGGACTGTTCATCTTAGAAAAGAGATGACTGATGGGGGATATGCTAGAGGGCTATAAAATCATAAGTGGTGTGGGGATAGTGAACAGGGAAGTGTTATTTACCCCATTCACATAATAGAAGAATTAAGAGGTCATCTGATGAAATTAATAGGCAGCAGGTTTAAAACAAACAAAAAGAAGTTGCTGCTTCACACATTGCATGGACAACCTATGCAACTCATTCCCAGGGGATGTTGTAAAAGCCCAAGGTATAACTGAGTTTAAAAAGGAATGAGATAAATTTGAGGATAGGTCCATCAATGGCTATTAGCCAAGATAGTCAGGGATGCAACCCCATGATCTGAATGTCCCTAAACCTCTGACTGCCAAATGCTGGGACTGGATGACAGGGATGGATCACTCAAAATTGACCTGTTCTGTCCATGCCCTCTGAAGCATATGGCATTGGCCACTGTTGGAAGACAGAATGCTGGGATAGACTATTGGTCTGACACAATATGGCCATTCTTATGTTCTAAGATTTGTTTTTTATTTCACCTTAATTTGGGATTTAATCTACACTGAGGAGCAGCGCTATAGCCCCAGCACTAGTTAGCCACCCCGCCCCTCCAACTACCCCAATGTGGTGGGGCAGAATGTCACAATGCTCCAGTGTTGGTATTGGGTGACTTACACAGGTGAGGGCTTGCCTTGTGCTGCATACAGTCATAATGCTACTGCTAAGGGCTAGTTTCTGTGCATTGATGGTAAGGCTGTTCTATCTGTATTCAGTGCTGCTCTCATGACACTACAATGAATATAAACACTTGCAAATGTTTATTGATGTGCAAGGGTTTCAGAACTGTTGATCACATTTTGCCCATAGCTTCTAATTGTATTTAAAAATTCAAAAAGAAACTAATTGTGATGAGTAGCTGAGCTATAATGCTGGTCAGAGCTGGATGGAGAGGCCTGCTGAGCTTATTCAATATGAAAAGAAGTACTTCCATAAAATCCTTAATTGAAGCCGACAATAAGCAAGAGCTGTTCTGGGAAACATCAAAGACATGGAAATAAAGTGTAAAAAAAAAAGAAAAGTGTACGGCTAACCACAACAGACACAAACCTAGTGAGCCAAATTCATACCTGGCATAACTCCTCTGACCTCACTGGAGTCATGCCAGGGATATATTTGGCTCCTGTTTCTAAAATGTAAGAGCACCCAGGAATCATATAAGCAGCAAAGCCAATGGGTCCAACATTCTTACTCTTTTGTTATTCCATCCTCCAATTCCTGTATGTTCTCTGTGCTGTCTCTATAATGAGATTTGGGGGTACCTCGCAGTGAATTA